AATCTTTATAGGGATCTCACAAAATCTTTCAGTCAGTCCTCTGTAGAGAAGAAAATTTTACAGTTTCTATTATAGCAGCACCCTTCCCGTAGTTATACAGGATGAGTGTTATCCATCCCAACAGTAGTTGTCCAACCAAAGGAGAAAACCAAAGGTAGGGATTAAAAGTAGGTTTTAAACACAAAGGAGAAAGTCCCAGACAGAAGCGCAGAAAGGCAAAAAATAGAAGAGAAAAAGTGAGTGAAGGTCTTCTGGTAGATAACAGCAAGTGTCTGTGCCTAAGTAGCCTTAGTTGGACCCGGAGAAATATATCGTAGCAAGCCCATGTGAATCAGCTGTCAGCTACAGGAAGGGGCATTACTTTTCAGGTTCCTGTCCTAAAACAAAGTATTTTGCACATTTTTGCACACTGCCTAGATGAACAGTGCTAGCTACAGACCACCGTACTGAAACAAGGAAATAGTTGTAGTAACCAAGGCCATAAACCTGAGGTTGCCCTATCCTATCAAACCTGGACCCTTACTGTTCAGCTAGATTCAGCCAGCTGAATTCAGCTAGACACAGTCTTCAAGGCACCAACGCTTATTCTTATGATATGCCCTGGGACACTAGTGATGCCTTTAAGGACATAACAGAAAACAAAAAAACCATCCACATTAAAAATAATGCACACTCCCAGAATCACTGGCATTCCAACCAGAAGTTTACTTAGCTTATGATACTTAGCAACAGGTTATTCCAAGATAGAGTGGACCTTATGTTTAGGCTTTTAGATTGGCATTTTCCAAACTACTGTGTTGAACTGTCACTTAATATCAAAGAAGATCCAGGAACATATTACATTAAAGGCATCAGAGAAGGTTGATTTGATACCTTAAATGAAAAGGGGAAAACCTTTTAAATGCCCTAAGGAACTCTTGATTGTTTTGATTCAATAGATCCAGTTTAACCCCACATTGTTAAACCTTGGTAAAAATATTTGCGTGTTGATTTAGTGATAGCATAGTAAAAACCATGATAATTGGTCTGAATGTTGATATTTTTCAATTCTAAGTTAGGAAAAAGACTAAAATAAAATTTCAGCAAATGAAATCTTGAGATTTATTCATTTTGCTTCTTCATTCCTATTATACAACTTTCCACATTATTTCAAAAGAAAGAAATACATCACGTCAGACAGTTAAATTCACCTTGTCAGTAAAGAAGCTGGATTACGCCTATGACTGTTTAGAATAATAATTTATGTTCCTTACTCAGTACGTTAGCTGCTTTAACAAAGAATTAGTGAAACTCCATGTATTCAACACAACTACTAAAATTTCACAAGGTACTGCATAACAGAAGATAGCTGCCTTTGTGGGTACTACATAGGTGTTTGAACTGAGCATTATATTTCTAGCATTTCATGAAAGCACAATAGATTGTTTTATTCTCAAAGCCATTAAGTATTTCACCATTAACAGACACTTTCAGCAGATTTTCTCCAAGTTTACTACTTGAATTAGGACCTCATCTAGCACCCTGAATCAAAAGGATTTTTCCTATTGATTTCTATGGGACCAGGATTTGGTCAGTGTTCCCTCATGTTAGTAAAACAAGGATTTTGTCCAACCTATTAGCCAAGGTATCATATTAATTTAATGATTAGGTTTTTTTGACTTCAGAAAGCTCTCATATGAGTTTTGGTGAATTTTTAATTGCAAGTTACTTCAGGTAAGTTCATCCTTAAAGTTTTCATACTGCAGTGTAAGGTACTGTGCTCTTTCTATTCCCACTGATCTTACCAGGGCTGGCATCTGAGGCTTTTTTTCAAATCATGGTCACGGTTTCGGATAAAGCAAAATGTAATTTTTCTACCAACTCTAGCATTGTCATAAAAAGATAATTATCCACTGGAAATCTTCCTACTTCAGTGATTTACATGTGGCAGACGTAATTTTGAAGTTCATGTGCCAAGGTACTCCCTGAACAAGAGTCTGTCTAATTGGAAAAACAATTGGTGACATCCTGCCCCAGTGAAGCGTGTAAAATACTTACCTGCTTTACCCAGTTTATTTTGCTCAACGAGTTTCTGTAACAGAGTCCTCGTTTACAGCCATAATAGTCCAGTAACTGGATTGCACCGGTAGAAACAGAACTTTGTTTCTCCAGATCAACCAACACTTACAGGCAAGGACTCTCAAACATTACTGGATGCTGAAATCCAGATTCTGGTGTGCATACAGACATAACCACAGTGGATTTAGTGACCACACGAGACTGTATAGACTCACGGCTGAGTCGGTCCTGGTGGGATGCACTGACTGTGGGTACTTCTCCCCTTCTTTCCAGGGAAATCAAAGACGCAAACCAGCACTTAGCTTACACTAAGCACTCAGGTGCTCAGGCAAAACTCAAGTCATACGACATTAAAAAAATGACTAAATTGAAGAAAAGAAGAATAAGATTATTCAAATGTTTAGCTCTTGAGAGCATGTTAAATAATTCAGAGGTATCATGATATAAAGCATCATACTTAGTCGAAGATGTACTGTCTCCATACATCTATTTGATAGGCATCATAAGCGTTAGTGTTTCACTATAAGAACGATGAATGTATGCTAATGTCTTTGTTTCCATGCCAAACCACCCATCTGTTCTCTGCTCAGAATTCTGTCATGCTCTTTTCTTTTCACTTTTACCCTATGTTATATTTAAGTTAAAAAAAAACCCAAAATATGCATTATCTCATATATATAATTTATGATCTAGACTCGTAGTACCAATGAAATTCAACAAAGAGAGAATGGAACAAAGGGAGAATGGTTCAGAATACTAAGTTTCCAATTGTTCGAGATGAAGCACTGCTTTATTGTGTTGCATTAGCAACCTCTTCATAACAAGGAGAGACAAAAAGGGTATTTGAATTAATGACCTCATTTGTGGGGAAAAAAAAATCTCATTTTTTAATGCATAGTTCATTTGCTAACACACAGACACTAGCCTCTAATGACAGTCTTATGCTGATATATCACCAGCAGTGTACCATACATGATGAATTACCCTCTAGCTGTCATTATTACTGGCTTTAGGTTTTATTAACTTACAAAAAAGGTGCCTACAAAGTCTTTTGCATTATCACTTGCTTCTTGAAAGACAGGAACAGACGTTTGCATTAGGAGTTTTTAGCAGAGTAGTAATCAGACTTCTTGAGCTCATGATAAAATTTATGAGATAATATATACCAATGCTAGATATGTGTAGGTGCTTACTGCCTTTTGTCTGACAGTGAATGCTTCAACATGAGTCACAATTATTTATGCCATAATTTCCAATATTCTACATTTCAGAAATGAAATTACTTCAGAAAGTGCCTGCTGGTGTATAAATACAAATAAAATGACCACCTTACTCCAGGGATTGTCTACTCTTCTAGCTCCTAGAGCAACACTTATGATCAGAACAGCTAGAACTGTAGATAGACCAAAAGACCTGATAATGGGCCTTTTTCTCCAAAGCACCTACAAAAGGGAAGGTCATAGCTAGGCATTCTCAGCTGCCCTTGTACACGGCAACTTAAATGCCTGTTTATTTTCATAGGGCAAATGCTTAACACCTTAGCCCCACTGAACATCACTGTGAGTGTGAAGCTACAGCAACTATATATATTAAATATATTCATATACACACAGCATCTTCAAGATAAAAGGCTCACATACTCTTAAAGTATAGCTTCATTGCATCAAGTGGACAGTCGTATCAGAATGATTAAGTGATCACACACCACTGTGGTTGAAGCACATTAAACACATTAAACATGCCATTATCGTTTGGCACATCTTAAAAAACTGATGTTAAAACAAAAGCACATTCTGAAGTAAGGGCAATATTCAGCTCTTTTCTCACATGCACAATTGCTTTTCAAAGCAGCAGCTTCTCATAATCCAGTCCCATGTGGCTTAAATCTAACCCAGTTGCAGTACCGAAGCTTTTTCCTTTTTCAGCGTCAGTACAAAGAAAACTGGGGACTAGCTCCTAGTCCATGCTCTGGCAGCTTTAATACTGTCCTAAATAGGTTACTTAGGATTACTTTTGGCACTACTTGGGAAACTTAACTGGTGTCAAGCCAATGTACCCAGCTTTGTGCCAAATGCTTCTTGTTCTCTTCTAAATCAGGGAAGTAACATAAAAAGTGCCAGGAAGCAAGCTGAGGACTGGGGGTAAAGTATGGTACACTCTAGTGATACGTGTAAGAGCAAGGAATCCATAGGGGACACTTATAGATGAGAACAACCTGGAGTAGTCCTTAAACTACTGTCACTTATTTTGGGCACAGTACAGAGACACTAGCGCCTCCTCCAAGGTTGTGCAAATACTCTGGCAGTTCTTGATATTTTGCCCATAACGCAGTGTTTGCAGAAAATTTCCTGAAGTGTTACATTATCCTTCCTTTCTCCCAACTTGAAATCCTGTTCACTTTGTGGGACCACAAACAGCTTAAAGGGGTATTTAGCATACAACCTACACAAGACTGAGCTTTCCAGAAGTTACAAAATGTGCAGTTTCCAAGACCTCTGCAAAACACCAGCTTGCTTGACTGCTTAGAAGTTTAGGAAATAGGGCACTGCTATAAAATATTGTCACTACATCATAGATATTACAGTTGAAAAGAACTTTTTTTGGTCATATTTCCTCCTCCATCTGCTATTGCAGAACTTTCTGCCATACTGAACTCTTAAGGGTTAACTGGCATTAGGTGGAGGAGGGGGAAATCAGAGGTCAGCTCATGTTCTGATACCAGTGAACTCACAAGTTACTCCTTAAGCATGTGGTTTCATCCTAGGTTCTTCCTGCCAGCAATTTCTCACTTTAATCATACACCCACAGCAACCCAGATCTTTAAATTCAGCAATTCTTTCTCAGGTTTCAGCAAGTCATTGGCAGCCTGAGCTATTTTTGGGATATTTTCTCTACTGCAGATGCAGCTCAGGAAAACGCAGGGAGCATGCTAAAGACCTGCAGCTATTTGCCTTGTACAATTTGCTCATTTCTCTTTATTTCTCTGTTTTCCTGCACTGATCACTTAAAGGACAATCTCTCTTGCAAACAAAATCCCCGGAGCCTGATTAGAGGGACTGAAGGCTCCCAGACACGGATTGCCTGCCAGCCACAGCACGGTAAGGACATGGACACTTTTGGCTAGCCTTGCATTGCAGCTTTTTAAGCTTTGCTGAACGTTTATTTGTGTCCATCGCTTCCAAATCAACACTGCTGGCATGGCAGGCAGTCTCCAGCTCCTGGTCTCCATTTTCATTCCCTAAAATCCTCAGCACTTGTAAGTAACACATTTATACTCACCGTCTCTTTGTGTGTTCTAGAAATCAATGACTGACACTGATTTTTATCAGTTCCAGGGGTTGGGTTTTTTTCCTTACATTTTAGCATCTTTTGGAGATCTGTAATTTGTAATCCTGATTGAAACTGTAGATATTTCTATTGCCTGATCTTCCCTATTTTAGGTATATTGTTAGTTTTATTATTTAGCTCAGCAAATTATTCAAATCAGGGAATGGTTTTTTGTACGGTAGACGGAAACATTATAAAAAAGACCTGCTACTGCTGATTTACAGCTATATACATAGCTTTCTTGTCTTGTGTACCGGCTCTGCTATAATACCTTTAAGCTGCCACACAGCAGTGCGCTAACACTACAAAGACATATACAGCATAAAACCAATGCAGCAGACCAAGCTGTACTAAAAATGAATAGGTTTTATCATGCAGTTCTTTTTATATATGCTCATAGAAATGCACCAAGTCAGCTCTGCACAAATGGTGCAGATTCAAATGTCACAGGACATACTATTTTATTGAAATACTTGTAAAAATAGTTTAACATCCTCAGGGACATTCTACTTACACATACTAGTGCAGGAAGATGAACACAGTTTATGTCTAACAAATGTACAAACCAAATTCTGGGAATCTCTGGTGGCAGAGACTGGAAAAGGGATTCTTTTAGTCCTGTCCTGTCCTTCAGGCTTTTTAGAAAAACTGAAATTGTTTTATGCTTTATCCTTTCACGTTCATTAATACGATGACTGCAAACAGAGAATTCCCCTGAGGGGCTTAATGTACATCATCCAAATATTTGACTGCAACTCAGTATTTGTTGTCCTATTAAGTGAGGTTTCAGAAAGCCCGACTTTGCACTAGAGGTAGGGAGGCCCTCAGATAGAACCAGTCATCAAAAGCTACCTGTGTCTGCTGCCAAAACAGACAAAAGCATACTGTACAATTGTATCCCCATAATATTTCCTATCAAGATGCTTAGACATTACAGTCTCCAGCAGAAACAAAGTTATAATAGCCTTTGAAACAGTATTTTAGGAACTTATTCAAACCTCACCTTTCACCTCTTCAGTGTGGGAAGAATTTTTGTTCATTTTCTAGCTTGCAAATGTTTCTTGAGTGATTTATAAAAACAATAGGAGGGATGGGGCAAATGCTGTATGTGCACATGAGTGAACTGAAGGTCTTTAAGGCTTAATTTTCAGTATGGGGAAAGTTCCAATGGGGAAAGTTCCAATGTTGATATGTAAAGAAATTTTTTTTTTTAAAAAAGCCATCCAGATTATAATGACTTACAACTCAGAATACTAGAAGGAAGAAGTTAAAACTTAAACTGGTATCAGTAGATTTAGGATCAGGGTCTGAAAGTAGTATTTTTGCTTCTGAAAGTCTCTCATCAATTTTGAGACAATTTCTATGGTGCTGTCTAAGTTGCTTCTGGACATCAGACTGATCACTGAGCCTGGCTCTCTCCTCCCACTAGTGAATTTCTGCCTCAACTTCACCGAAGTCACTAATACTAAATTAGCTCAATGAGAAATATGAATCAGTTCTTTAGTCCTTAGCTTCGTTTTATACTCAATCCCAAATGTTAGCACTCAGCTTGCTGGAAATCTTGAGACTCTACATATTTCCCAGAGACTGTGGGAAGAAAGGAATTATTATAGCTGGATGTGTTTTGCTAAAAGTTAGCAAAGCATTTGATTGTTTACTGGCAACAGAGGAACTGGCATGTCATTAGACAAGTTACAAGGCATGCATGCAAATCTAGATCCCATATTTCCCCCTCTCGAAAAAAAAAGTTACTCTCAGCACAAAGAAGAGTCGATTGAAGGAAGTTCTACCGACAGGACAGGACTGCGCAGAATTGAATATTTTGGGAATTCAGTGAGATAAAACTCACTACAGTGACATATCTGTACAGATAAGCATTCAAGCGGTGCTTATTTGGGCTCATTTTAGAAAATGTCATACTAAATTGTGCCATTGATAAATATTATAATTTGAAAGACAATGCATGTTATTTCACAATATGTGCAGAAAGGAAATAATCTGAATAATGAAAAAGTAGATGCCATCTAGGATATATTAGCTTTTTATTTTTAAAACAAACTGTTGCATACAGGAGCTCTCTGAAGTTGAAAACCCCATCTTCATTAAAGAAGGAATATAGGTCATAGGGATTAGCAACTCTCCAGCCATTCCAGTGTATCCAACTGAGGATACACTCATGCTTTGTTAATAAACTTCTTCTTTTTGTGTGTGTGCATATACATTAAATCAGCCCCACACAAGATACTAAAGATGGACTGACTCTATAAATGTACTCATTTATAATTCAGTAGCAGCTATGATGCCAGGCACCCCATAACTCATACTTGATGGTCCTTGCCTAGAAACAAGTATATATGAAGGGCTAATGGACATCAATAAGGACAATGGCTAAAGTGGAACCCAGGCTGACTTACAGTAGAAGTTGTTCTAGAGTCAGAACATGAGTCAAAAACACAGTTATTCCTTCACTTGAACAATCACAGAAGTGGGTCCCTCCAATTTTAATGACATCCTCAAACACACACTAAAGTTACAATAAATAAGTTATTGTGTGTGAAAACAGCCATGGTAATTGGCCAGTTAGATTCTCTTCGTTTGCCTTTCTGTTTTTTTTTTTTTTTAAGTTTACTGTTTTCAATTTAACCTTAAAATTTAGTTAAAAAAGGTTTAATTGGTCCTGCACTACTCTGTAAATGGCTAGACTAAAAACACCTATAGTCTCAATGGCTCCATTGACATGCAGTAACTTCCTAGGCTGCAAGAACCTGATCAGATGGCTGAGCCCTTCATTAAAATTGAAGGAACAGTTTTATTTTTCCTGGCTGTCACTTTGCACCAGACTAATTCTATTAAATCCAGTTGAGGGACTATGGTGAAAGAGGAACCATCAACAAAAAGTGAATAGTACAAGAATTATTCGAAGACTGGGTCTGAATTTTAATAGTCTCATAGAGCTGGGCTCTGCAGCAAAAACCTGACAAATTTTGCTGACAATATGTTGGGAGGCTGCACCAATTTAAAGAAGGAATATCACAGAGTAACAGAAATGAGAGGAAATGTAGTAGAAATGTAAGGCTCACTGGAGGCAGGAATAAATAAGTGAGGGAGCAGCCTAGAGTGGCAAGCTGCAGACACATGTGAGGAGGCTTGGCCAGTCTGAGTAGCTCAGCTTTGTCTTCTCTACCTGCTGACCCCTGGCAGCACCAGCAGTCCTCAGCCTTCTCCCAGGTGGCAGCAGAAGCATGAAGATGCTCTGCAGCCCCTTTCTCTCTGATCCTCCAACCTCCATTTCTTCTCACATCCTCAGGAGTAGGCCTTCACCTGCTTCTGGCTCTCACCTCAGCCTCTGCCTCTGCCTCTGCTAATAGTTAGAGAAGCACAGGGAGGTAGTAAGGGCTACCTGGGACACATGAGAGAGGGACTACAGGGCCTGGACAGCAGGGTGGGAGTGACACAGGAATGGAGATGTAACAGGACATCCTGGGAGGTGTGCAGGAAGAGACAGGCAGACAGGTAAAGTGTAGCTGTTTCCATCCAACTCTTCCCAATGTGATACAGCTGAGAAAAAGACAAATCCATTTTACAATATGCCACTAAAGATAATGATGCTAGAGACAGTATAGCACTGATGGCATCCTATAAGTATGGGTGAGTCCATGTTTGGAATATTATATTGTTCTTGTCACTCACAATACAGGAGTATGGATCATAACAATGAGCCAGGAATATTAGTGCTATTGGTAAAGATATCATCAGGGAAATAAATTATTTAAGATGTATTACAGTGTTGGCCCAAGAACAAACAGATATAAATCAAGCATAGCAACTAGAATTAGAAGAATACCCTGAAGCAGCGAGATGGGAGCAAGAATCCTAACTATCTTTGTTTTAAGACAGAGCATGATCAATTACCAAAAGCACTGTATCTTTTTGCAAGTTGCTGCAGCTACAATCGGTCCAGGACTGTTTTCTAGGTCACAGTGATACATATTTATATAAGTGAGATAAGAATCAGTTCCTGGATGAAATGCATGGATGAATGGATAGGTGCTAGAATTTACTTTAGCAGATGTTGCTCCCTTTGAGATCACTTGGATCTCTGTACAAAGACTAAGCTAACATCAATGTGATAACATCAGCCCCCTTTAAGACACACAAATGAAACTACCACTTTGAGCTAGTAAAGAATGAATGGAGCAAACTTGGTTCTTGTTGATATTCTGAAGAATCCATAAAATCTGTTATGAGGCTGCACAGATCAGGGTATCTTGAATGTATTTAAAGTGAAAACAAGTACCAAAAAAGTTATTTTCATGTTAAGATTTTTCCTCTTTTGCTCAAAAACCAAGTTGACAAGGTAGTCCAACGGGCTGCCCTCACTGTAGAGGGAGGGAAGACTGAGAGTGTGAGACCCTTACTGCCTTTTTCCTCAAAAGAAAATGAAATTGAATGCCACATGGATGAGAGACAGGGACCATAGTACAGATCTAAACAGATTTGTCTGCTTGACACCAAAGCAATTCAAGCATCAAGTCTACAATTTTTGTCAAAAACATGTCAGAGTATCATAATTCAGTTTCTATGTAGATTCTACAAGTGCTATATAGATTACAGTATGTTTGACTTGTATACTTTGGAGGTCTTTTCACTGCCTGTGGTATCAATAAAGAGAAGGCTCTAAGTAGCCTTCAACAGAAATCAGCATTTCTATTGTGATTAACCTTTAGAAACGGATGGCTGTTCTTTTCAAATTAATTTTTGAAAGATATCT